AGGGTGTAGATGATGACAGATGGGGGAAAAAGTGTACATTTGTATATAACCGAAGCACCTGACAGCGGAGAGTGGCGAGGGGAGCAGCGAAGCTGGGTGGGAGACTCGGCAGTGTGGGCAGTTACAGAGGAGGGGTGGGCGGCGGGCGGGGCTGACTGGAACCGGAGGTGGTAACAAGAATGGCAGCGAAGTGACGTGGTTGAATGTTTGAGAATGCGAATGATTTTGGTGTGCATGCGAATGTTTCTTTCCCTGCTTGCAGACACCGAGTCTAGGACGAGCTGGAAGATACAGCCACCAGCTGGCGGAAGGCAGGATGGCAGCATGGGTGGCAAGCTAGGTTGCTAGCACTTGTTCGTTGTTAGCATTGCCTTAGCTAGGGTTGAGTAGGGAAGCACTTATGAGGCTCCGGGGCCATAGGACTGCTACTGCTTGTTTGTTTTTATGAATTACTGCAATTCTTTCTGAGACCAGCAGTTTTGCTACGAAGCCATATCCACAGTCAGAATGAGTTAGGAAGGATCTGAACATACAAACACGCAGTCTGATGCGATTGCGGTCAGGAAAGCTATTAGAAGGAGTAGAGCTGAGGCGCACGGGAAGCGTGGAAATGGTGGACCGGGCTGAGGCTCAGCAGGCCACGAATCAGCCGCTGGAGCCGGGTTGAATGGAAGGGCGGAATGCGCCCAGCGATGGAGTGACCGGGCCGCAGGTCGGCCCTCGCATGGAGATAACGGGGGGCAGAGAGAACGCACCCGGTGGATCGGAGGAGCGCAAGCGGAGTCAACCGCCGCCGCGATCCCAGGAAGGGGGGCCAAGCGGGTATCAGCGAAGTGCCTCCATGCAGGGCACCGAAGACGAGACGATGGTGCAACGATGGAGGTACACCCAGCTGCCGAAGATCGAGGTGCCGGAGAGGTTCTCGGGGGATGTAAGGCGCGGACCGAGTGTGAAGAATTATATCATGCAACTGGAGAATCTGCAGGCGCGTTGGGCGAAGGATCGGCTGGATCCGAAGGAAGTCTTTCGCAGACTGGCAAATACACTAGCGGGGGAGGCGGAGACATACTACAGGATCTCGCGGAAGGAGTTGCTGGAATGGGCAGCGGGTCGGGCGCCGGGTGAGCGAGATCCAACGGCTCGGTTCTAAGCGATGCTTCGCGAGCAGTTTCCCTTGCAGACGACTGAGCGGGTGGAGGAGTTCCGGAGCTTCAGACGGAAAGAAAGCGAGTCCCTACTGGCATACTACGGCAGGCTAGTGGAATTGTGAGAGGACATGAACTGCATGGACCAAGGGCGGCTGATTGGAAAATTCGTAAACGGGCTAAGCCAACCCCTACAGCAGGACGTGCAGGTGCCGGAAGCGACGCTAAAGGATGCCTACGAGATTGTTACGCGCGTGGAAACAGTCGTCGGCTCTATGAGGTGGAACGCACGGTGGATAGAGGACCAGAGAGACGGCCGCCAGCGTGGGCTGTCAGAATATAATGCTTGTCTAGTCTGTAGTGGGGTACTCAATAGTGAGTATAACCCTTTTAGGGCTTGCTATTTGTACCTCCCTCCTTTCTAGTCAAACCCTCCTTTGCTCATTTTATCTTGCCTAGCTAGCTAAACCCTAGCTATGGCTCCTCGTTCTGCCTGCTATCTTGACATGGGCAGCAACTTCTGCAAATCCGGAATTGGAACAGCGAAGGACAGAGGAAGCGCGGCGTTGTCACAACTGCGGTTTACCGGGGCATCTGAGAAGGGATTGTCGGTGTGAGAGTAGGACGACTTATGCCAGATATGCTTGCTTGCCTTAACTTTATTATGCTATTTCTAGCTAAGGTTTATTTTATGCATTCATGAATTGCTTGATTTCCTAGGCTAGGTGCTTTCCTATATTTTATTATAGTTATAGCACCGAGCTAGGTTGCGTGCACCGAATTCTGGCTTTTCGGTTGTCACCAAATTGCCTTCTACAGAATTCGGGAAGGCTCTGTTTGGGACGCTTCGCAACCCTTGGAACCTTCGCTTAACACATGGTTACTAGGCCTTGTGTCGAGCCTATATATAGCCTCATGTTGTACCCAGGTGATCATTCAATTCACATTCTCTTTTCTGAGCTCGATCCTAGATCCTCACACTTGGTATCAGATCCTGTTTACACGCGAAAGGTTTTCGACCACTAAAACCGAGTCTTCAAAAACCGCGGGGGCGACGCCTATTAAACACCGATTTCGGGTACGTAAAACCGGTTCCGTGTTTTTTCGCTCCCCCTCGTTTCGGTTTTTTCGAACGCGCAATGTCAGGCATGGAGGGCCAAGGCGACAACTACGCGACGACGAGCGACATTGCAAGCCTCCGCACCGACATGGAGCAGACGCAGGCGGCGATCCAACGACCCGAGGCCCTTCTGACACACCAATCAGGAGCCGCCACCACAGCAGCAGCGAACGTAGCAGCGATAACACCAGCAGCAGTGGCGACACCGACATTTCACGGACCGATGGCACCACTGTCGCCGAACCTCGAAGCAGCACGCCCGAGGCTCCCCGAAGCGTTTGTGAAAGAACAAGGAATGAATGCACTAGGAAATAGGTGGGTACAAGTAGGAAAACCTAAAAGTGTTGTACCCCATATTATCTACCAAACTACAGCCTACACAGACTGTAACATATAAGTTTGACACACCCCTATAGGCAAAGTGGGGGAGAACAAGAGGTCACAAGACCAGTTAAGCACAGCAAACCAAGCTCAGGGTGGATCACAACGTCACCACACATTCCGAGCACAAGTTCAGGGCCATAAGGCCAGTTCACATGCAAGATCATATATAAAGGTGAACAAGCAAGTGCAGGTATAGAAAGATCAGAGTACAAGTAAGGTGGAGAAGTGAGCAAGTGAGGCAAAGTAGGCACAAGACCTAGCATCGTACAGCAGCGCTGATGATCACCAGGCGGAAGTGCCTTGGTAAAGATATCAGCAGTGTTGGCCTCAGAGGCCACGTAAGCAAGGCGCAGCTGACCACGCTGCTGCAGCTCACGAGCAAGGAAGTAGCGAAGAGCAATGTGCTTCGTTCTGTGCTCCACTCTCTGCTTCCGACACAAGGCCAGCATGGCCTTGTTGTCTACGTACAGAACTGGAAGCGAACGAGGCTGCTCTCCTAGGTCACTCAGTAGGTAGGTGAGCCAGCGTAGCTCCTGTGCAGCCATGGCCCCCGCGTAGATCTCAGCCTCATAGCTGGAGCCGAGAACAGAAGACGAGCGGGTAGACCGCCACGAAAAGGAGCCGGAGCCAAGGCTGAAGGTGTAACCCTGTGACGACCGCTGCGTAGCCTGGTCGTCAGCCCAAGAAGCGTCTGCGTGACCTGTGAGAACCACTGAACGCCGCCCTCCAAGCACTAGCCCCATGCCCGACGTATTGCACAAGTAGCGCAACAACCTCTTCGCTGCAGCCATGTGCTCTGGTCGGTGTCTCCCCGGAGCAACATAGCGTGCAAGAATGCTAAGAGGGTATGCAAGAAAAGGCCGTGTGCAGGTCATTAGGTACATGAGGCAGCCAACAAGCTCTGGGTATGGGCCACTCGGCTCTACGGACTCATCCGAAGGCAGAGCTGAGAGCGAGTGGCGAGAAGACAGAGGAGGCCTGAGGCGAGGAGTACGTGAAGTCGAAGCGCTGAAGGACCTACTGCACCATGTGTGACTGAGTCAGGGTAATGGTGCGTTGTGCTCTGTCCCGGGTGATCTGCAAGCCAAGGTAGCTGCGCAGTTCACCTAGGTCTGTGCACATGTGTCTCTTCTGCAGCTCGGACTTCACGTGGGCGAGTCCAGCAGTGTCAGCAGTGGCAAAGACCAAGTCGTCGACGTACACGAGGATGTAGAACTGCGGCAGAGAGGTGTCGGTGCGCAGAAATAGCGACGGGTCAGCAGTAGAAGGAGCAAACCCAAGAGCCGCAAGTGTATGTCAGAACATTATAGCTTACTTATCTGTGTAGGCTATAGTGGGGTATCCCATAGGGGGTACAATCCCATTAGGGTTTCCTATTTGTACTCACTTCATTCATAGTCATTTCATTTTTCTCGTTCAATTCTTCTCATGGAATCAGAGCAGGTCCCCTCCTAGGGACTGTTCCTAGGGCCCACCGAAGCGCGCCCCGAGGCGCGCGTTCTTTTTTTTAGCGACCCTGCGTGTCGCCCTTACCTTCGCGATCCCGCCGCCCTTTAGTCGCGGCCCCGCTTTACCCCTACGGCCCCGCTTCGGCCCCGCTTAGGCCCCGTCGGCCCCGCTTAGGCCCCGCTACGGCCCCGAGTCGGCCCCGCTTAGGCCCCGCTACGGCCCCTCGTCGGCCCCGCTTAGGCCCCGTCGGCCCCGCTTAGGCCCCGTCGGCCCCGCTTAGGCCCCGCTACGGCCCCGCGTCGGCCCCGCTTAGGCCCCGTCGGCCCCGCTTAGGCCCCGTCGGCCCCGCTTAGGCCCCGCTACGGCCCTGCTACGGCCTCGCTACGGCCCCGTCGGCCCCGCCTAGGCCCCGCCGACCCTGCTACGGCCCCGCTACAGCCCGTCGTCGGCCCCGCTACGGCCCCGCTACGGCCCCGCTTAGGCCCCGCTGCAGCCCCGCTACGGCCCCCATTGCGGCCCCGCCGCCCGTGCTGCAGCCCGCCGCGCCACCCGTGCACCCGCCCGTGCGCCGCCCGTGCACCTACCCGTGCAACCGCCCGTGCAGCCGCCCGTGCAGCCGCCCGTGCAGCCGCCCGTGCAGCCGCCCACCGTGCCGCCCGTGAGCCGCCCCAGCCGCCCGTGAGCCGCCCGTGCAGCCGCCCGCGCCGCCCGTGAGCCCCCGTGTCACCTGAGCCGCGCGAGCCGCCCGAGCCGCCCGAGCCGCCCGATCCGTCTACGGTGCCGGGAGCCGGATCCTGTGGGACTGCTGCTACTCCTGGGCCGGCGGAGTTGCTGAGCTACTGTGTTGCTGTCCTACTGAGCTGCTCGACCCTTCTTCTCTGGTGAGACTGTCGGCTGCTATCATGGCCACCCCCAGTGTCCTGGCCTTTGACGCTGAGGGTCGTGCCATTGACTTTGCGGTCTGGGTCGAGGACCTGCAGCTGTACTTGCAGTGCGATTCAGTAGATGACATCTCTCTCTTTGACTTTGCCTCTGGCGCTGTCCCTGCCCCTCCTGCTGATGCTGTCCCCACTATTCGCTCCAAGTGGGCCACACGCGATGCTGCTGCACGTCTTGCTGTGCGTCGCCACCTCCCTTCCTCCGAGCGTGCCCACTTTAGTCAGTGCAAGACCGCTCAGGCCTTGTACGACGCTGTAGTTGCGCACTACTCCTCCCCTTCCACTGCTACACTGAGCCGCCTCATGCTACCGTACCTCTTCCCTGACCTTGCTGCCTTTCCCACAGTCACTGACCTCTTTACCCACCTTCGCGCTAGTGACACTCGCTACCGAGCTGCGCTTCCTGCTGCCTTCCTCGCCGAAAACCCCCCTCCCATGTACATCACCCTCTACTTTCTAGTCACCCGTCTCCCTGAGTCCCTTCGTGCTGTTAGGGACCAGTTTCTCTCTGTCTGTCCCACCACCCTCACTGTTGACCTCCTCGAGAAGTCCCTGCTAGCGGCCGAGAAGAGCATAGTCGCTGTAGGGGTCTCTCGTGGTGACCCGCGCACCCCCATCTTTGAGGGGTGTTCTCCTTCCCCCCTGTTACCCTCTGTCGCCTCTGCTGCTGCGACCGACCTCGTTGGTTTAGAGTCGGTCGGTGCGGCGTCTGCCCCCAGCGGTAGGCGCCGCTCTGGCAGGAGCAAGGGGGGCAAGGGAGCGGGTGGAGCTAGCGGGGGCGGTGGCGGAGGAGGTGGGGGCGGCGGGGGGAGTGGGGGTGGCGGTGGGGGTGGAGGCGGGAGTGGAGGTACTGGTGGCGGCAGTGGAGGCGGAGGTGGCGGCGGAGGTGGTGGCGGAGGTGGCAGTGGGAGCGGCGGGGGCGAGGGTGGCGGTGGCGGCGGTGGCGGTGGCGGCGGTGGCGGCGGAGGCGGGGGTGGCGGTGGTGGAGGTGGTCGGAGTGGCTCGTCCCAGAGGAGCAGCACTGGGGGTGGTCAGCGCCAGCAGCAGCAGCGCTCTCGCGACGTCCCCGCCCCTCAGCAACTCCGTGAGTGGTACTCGCAGCGTCAGCGTGGTGGGGCGTTCGGTCCCTGCACCTACGTCCTTCGCAACGGCGACCGCGCGGGTGAGCAGTGTGGGGGCACCCACACCGCTCGCCGCTGCTTTGCCCGCTTGACCGACGCTTGGCGCCAGCAGTTTCCGGAGGCCTCTGAGATCCCCCGCTGGGGAGAGCTGTCTAGGGCTGGTGTAGATGTTTTTAATCTTGACTTTGATGCTATCCTTGCTGCCATGTATGCTGTGACTTTTAGTGATGATGGTGACTGTTACCGGTGTTTCCCGCCCGACCCGGGCATTGGTACTGCTGCGTCAGGTGCCAGTGAGGCTGCTGCTCTAGGTGCCAGTGCCTCTGTGCTCTCAGGTACTAGTGAGTCTGCCCTCTCAGGTACTGTGTCGGCTTCTGCCTCTCACACCTTCACCCTTGACTCTGGGGCGTCTCGCTCCTTCTTTCGGGACCGCACCACTCTCACGCCGCTTAGTCGGCCTGTTGCGATTTCCGTGGCTGACCCCTCTGGGGGTCCTGTCCTGTCTCGTTTTTCCACAGTCCTCCCGTGTCCGGCGGCTCCCTCTGGCACCCTGACTGGTCTTTACCTCCCCTCGTTCTCTACGAACCTGGTGAGTGGTGCTGACCTACAGGATGTGGGTGTCCACCAGTTCACTCCTGCTTGTCAGCGGGTGACACACTGCACAGAGGCTAGCACAGGTCGCCACCTGGCTACGTTTACACGTCAGCCAGGGTCGAGCCTGTACACACTGACCACTGCTTCTCCTCCCGGTGCTGAGTCTGGTAGAGTCCCTTCGTCTGGTCAGGTGTTTGCTGCAGTGTCCAGGTCTGGTCCTGAGTCTGCCCCCTGTTCGTGTCGCCGTCTGTCTCACGAGATTCTCCTCTGGCACCACCGCCTTGGCCACCCCTCTCTGCTTCGGCTCAGAGGCATGGCCTCCCGTCGTCTTGTGTCTGGTCTTCCCCGGTCCCTCCCTCCCCTTCCTCAGGGCCCTGGCCCTGCCTGTGTCCCCTGTGTCGAGGGGCGCCAGCGTGCTGCCCCTCACTCCTCCCAGTTTCCTCCGACAGAGGCTCCGTTGCAGACACTTCACATGGACGTGTGGGGCCCTGCCAGCGTCCGTGGACTCGGTCACGAGCGCTACTTCCTGTTGGTGGTTGACGACTACTCGCGTTACACCACAGTCTTCCCTTTGCGCAGCAAGGGTGATGTCACTGAGGTGCTGATCGACTGGATCCGCGCAGCTCGTCTCCAGCTCAGGCTGAGCTTTGGCTCGGACTTTCCTGTGTTGCGTCTGCACTCGGACAGAGGCGGAGAGTTCTCCTCTGGCCTTCTGCGTGCCTTCTGTCGTGCGCGAGGCATCCGCCAGACCTTCACGCTTCCGGACTCACCGCAGCAAAATGGGATTGCTGAGCGCCGCATTGGCATGGTCATGGACGTCGCTCGTACGTCTATGATGCATGTGGCTGCCCCCCATATTCTGTGGCCGTTTGCGGTCAGGTACGCGGCGCATCAGATCAACCTCCACCCTAGGGTCTCCAGGCCGGAGACCTCCCCAGCCCTGCTGTGGACGGGGAAGGTTGGCGATGCGTCGGCGTTCCGGGTCTGGGGATCTCGGGCGTTTGTCCGCGACTTGTCTGCGGACAAGCTGTCCCCTCGCGCTGCTCCCTGCGTCTTCCTGGGGTTCCCCCCCGACGCCCCTGGGTGGCAGTTCTACCACCCCACCTCTCGACGTGTTCTGTCCTCCCAGGACGTCACGTTCGACGAGTCGGTACCCTACTACCGCCTCTTCCCCTACCGCACTCCGTCCCTCCCCCCGCCCCCGCTCTTCTTGGTACCAGGTCCCCCACCGGTAGACCCCCTCCCCCCTCAGGGTCCTGCCCCTTCAGGTGTGTCCCAGGTAGACGCGGTCAAGCCTGTCGAGGTCACTGGTGACTCTGGTGCTGTCGCGGGAGCTGAGCCTGGGGGTGCTGGGACTGGAGGTGCTACGCTTGGGGGTGCTGAGCCTCGGGGTGCGGAGTCTGGAGGTGCTGAGCCTGGGGGTACTGAGCCTGGGGGTGCTGCGCTTGGGGGTATTGAGTCTGGGGGTGCTGAGCCTGGGGGTGCTGGGCCTGGGGGTGCTGAGCCTGGGGGTGCTGAGACTGGGGGTGCTCCGCCTGGAGGTGCTTTGCCTGAGAGTGCTGAGCCTGGAGGTTCTTCGCCTGGAGGTTCTCCGCCTGGAGGTGCTTCGTCTCGCCGAGAGCCACTCTCTCCACGGGAGTTACGTGAGTGGTTTGCCCAGCGCTGGAGGCGTGCTGCTGGTGCTGGAGGTTCTTCGACTGCAGAGGGTGCTGCTGCCGCGCGTCCCGGAGGTGCTCGTACTGGGGGTGCTGGAGCTGCTGGGCCTGATGGTTCTCCTGGAGCTGGTGCTGCTGAGGGTGTTGGCGCTGAGACTACTGCTGGCGGTCCGAGTGACAGTGCTCTTGGTGCTTCTGGGGGTTCTGGAGCTTCTGGAGGTGCTGCTTGAGGTGCTGCTGGAGCGGGTACTCCTGCTGGGGGTACTGGTGCTGTCCCTGCTGTTTCTGGCGTCGCCACGCGGCCCCGACCGTACTTCGTTCCGCTCCTGCAGCAGGTTCTTGGTCTTACACCTTCTCCTGGTCCTCCTCCTCCTCCCTTAGAGGGTCTACAGCCTGTCCAGTCCCAGACACAGCTACAGCCTGCCACCCCTTTGCCTGCTCCTTCTCCCTACGCTGGTCCGACTGGAGGTCTTACTGAGCGTAATGAGCCTGCGTCTCGTCCTGCGTCGCCTGGCCGCGGTTCGCGTCAGCGTCCTCCTCCTGACCCTTGCACGCACCAGATGTCTCTGCGTCCGTCCACTGCTCCTCTGCGTGCTCCTTTGCCTTCTCCTCCTGCTTCCTCTCTTCCTGCTCTTGCCGACCCGGAGTCGGACTCTCTTCGTGCTGCCAGTCCTACTGTCACGCGTCTCCTTGCTACTGCTGTCACTGACCCTTCTTTCGAGTCTTCTGCTGCGTCTGCCCTTGTCACTGAGCTCGTCGACTTTGCTGCGCGCTGTCGTCTAGACTACGCTGCTAGTCTTGTCGCTGAGTCTGAGTTTGCCTGTCCTCAGTCCGTCGGGGGTGAGTGTGCCCTTGGCACGGACGTCCTTGAGGACAGGCAGGAGGAGTTCCAGTGTCTGGCCGCCGCTTCACCTCATCTCGCGTCTGTACTGCTAGCCCCTGAGGGAGACCCGGATGCACTTGACATCCCGACGCCGCGCTCTTACGCGGAGGCGATAGAGGGTCCCTACTCCTCTCAGTGGCAGGCAGCTATGGATGCAGAGATGGCTTCCTGGAAGTCCACAGGCACCTACGTTGACGCTGTTCCCCCTCCTGGGGCGAACATAGTCAGTGGCATGTGGATCTTCAGGGTGAAGCGGCCGCCGGGTTCTCCGCCTGTCTTCAAGGCGCGTTACGTGGCTCGTGGCCTCAGTCAGCGGCAGGAAGTTGACTACCTTCAGACCTTCTCCCCCACCCCGAAGATGACCACTCTTCGGGTACTGCTGCACGTTGCTGCTCACCGTGACTACGAGCTGCACTCTCTCGACTTCAGCACAGCTTTCTTGCAGGGCAGCCTGCACGAGGAGATCTGGCTGCGTCGCCCACCTGGCTTCACTGGGTCTTTCCCTCCTGGTACCCAGTGGAGTCTCCGGCGTCCAGTCTACGGTCTCCGCCAGGCGCCACGTGAGTGGCACGACACACTAAGGACTACGCTGGCGGCACTCGGGTTTGCTCCTTCTAGTGCCGACCCGTCGCTGTTTCTACGCACCGACACCTCTCTGCCGCCGTTCTACATCTTCGTGTACGTCGACGACTTGGTCTTTGCCACAGCGGACACTGCTGGACTCGCCTACGTGAAGTCCGAGCTGCAGAAGAGACACATGTGCACTGACCTGGGTGAACTGCTTAGCTACCTTGGCTTTCAGATCACCCGGGACAGAGCACGCCGCACCATTACCCTGACTCAGTCACACATGGTGCAGCAGGTCCTTCAGCGCTTCGGCTTCACGTACTCCTCGCCTCAGGCCACTCCTCTGTCTACTCGCCACTCGCTCTCAGCTCTGCCTTCGGATGAGTCCGTAGAGTCAAGTGGCCCGTATGCAGAGCTTGTTGGCTGCCTCATGTACCTGATGACCTGCACACGACCTGACCTTGCATACCCTCTTAGCATTCTCGCACGCTATGTTGCTCCTGGGAGACACCGACCAGAGCACATGGCTGCAGCGAAGAGGGTGTTGCGCTACTTGTGCAGTACGTCGGGCATGGGGCTAGTGCTTGGAGGGCGCAGTCCAGTGGTCCTCATTGGGCACGCGGACGCTTCTTGGGCTGACGACCAGGCTACGCAGCGGTCGTCAAAGGGTTACACCTTCAGCCTTGGTTCCGGCTCTGTTTCGTGGCGGGCTACCCGCTCGTCTTCTGTTCTCGGCTCCAGTTGTGAGGCTGAGATCTACGCCGGGGCTATAGCTGCACAGTAGTTACGCTGGCTCACCTACCTGCTGACCGACCTTGGAGAGCTGCCTCGTTCTCCTCCAGTCCTGTACGTAGACAACAAGGCCATGCTGGCCTTGTGTCGAGAGCAGCGACTGGAGCACAGGACAAAGCACATTGCTCTCCGCTACTTTCTTGCTCGTGAGCTACAGCAGCGTGGACAGTTGCGACTTGCGTACGTGGCCTCTGAGGCCAACACTGCTGATGTCTTCACCAAGGCACTTGCGCCTTGTGATCATCAGCGTTGCTGCACGGAGCTGGGTCTTGTGCTTGTCTTGCCTCACTTGCTCACTTCTTGACCTTGCTTGTACCTTCACCTATATATACTCTTGCTCTAGCTTGCTTGACTCTTGTATATCTCTATATATGATCTTGCATATGAACTGGCCTTCTGGCCTTTGAATTTGTGCTCGGAATGTGTGGTGACTTTATGATCCACCCTGAGCTTTGCTTTGCTTTGCTTGACTGGTCTTGTGACCCCTTGTTCTCCCCCACTTTGCCTATGGGGGTGTGTCAGAACATTATAGCTTACTTATCTGTGTAGGCTATAGTGGGGTATCCCATAGGGGGTACAATCCCATTAGGGTTTCCTATTTGTACTCACTTCATTCATAGTCATTTCATTTTTCTCGTTCAATTCTTCTCAGTGTAGTCCTCAGTGTGTCATGCCACTCACGTGGCGCCTGGCGGAGACCGTAGACTGGCCGCCGGAGGCTCCACTGGGTACCAGGAGGAAACGACCCAGTGAAGCCAGGTGGGCGGCACAGCCAGATCTCCTTGTGCAGGCTGCCCTGCATGAAAGCTGTGCTGAAGTCAAGAGAGTGAAGCTCGTAGTCGCGCTGAGCGGCTATGTGCAGCAGCACCCAAAGAGTGGTCATCTTCGGGGTGGGAGAGAAGGTCTGAAAGTAGTCAACTCCCTGCCGCTTACTGAAGACTCGAGCCACGTAACAGCCTTGAAGACAGGCGGAGAACCCGGCGGCCGCTTCACCCTGAAAATCCACATGCCACTGACGATGTTCGCCCCAGGTGGGGGAACCTCGTCAACGTAGGTGCCTGTGGACTTCCAGGAAGCCATCTCTGCGTCCATGGCTGACTGCCACTGTAAGGAGTAGGGACCCTCGATCGCCGCAGCGTACGATTGAGGAGTCGGGATGTCTGGTGCATCCGGGTCTCCCTCAAGGGCAATCAGCGTGGACACGAGATGAGGCAAAGCAGCAGCAAAACACTGGAACTCCTCCTGCCTGTCCTCAAGGACGTCCGTGCTTAGAGCACACTCACCCCTGACGGACGGAGGACAGACAGACTCAGACTCAGCAACAAGACTAGCGGCGTAGTCTAGACGTCAGTGAGCAGCAAAGTCGACAAGCTCAGCAACTAAGGCAGACGCATCAGTGGACTCAAAGGAAGGGTCATTGACAACAGTAGCCAGAAGACGTGTCACAGTAGGACTGGGAGCACGAAGAGAGTCCAACTCCGGGTCAGCAAGAGCAGGAAGAGAGGACTCAGGAGGAGACAGCAAAGGGACACGCAGCGGAGCAGTGGAAGGACGCAGTGCCATCTGCTGCGTGCCCGGGACCGCAGGAGGACGCTGACACGGAACACGACGACTAGTGCCAGCAGCACGAACAGGCGACGCAGGACGAGACGCAGGCGCACGACGCTCAGCAAGACCTCAAGTAGGACCAGTGTAGGGAGAAGGAGCAGGCAGTGGGGAAGCGGGCTGTAACTGTGACTCGGACTAGACAGGCGGTGGACACTCTAAGGGAGGTGGAGGACCAGTAGAAGGCAGGAGATCAAGAACCTACTCAAGGAGCGGAACGAAGTATGGCCGTGGCCGCACAGCGCCTCTCGAAACAGTAGGGACAGCACCAGTACCCCCAGTGGCAGCACCAGCGCCAGCAGCACCTCCGGCTCCAGCAGCTCCAACTCTAGCACCCTCAGAAGCACCAGCACCAGCAGCACCTCTAGCTCCAGCAGCGCCAACTTTAGCACCCTCAGAAGCACCAGCACCAGCAGCACTGCCAGCTCCAACACCAGCAGCACCTCCAGCTCCAGCAGCCCCAACTCCAGCACCCTCAGAAGTACCAGTGCCAGCAGCAACTCCAGTGCCAACACCAGCAGGACTGCCAGCTCCAGCAGCACCTCCAGCAGGACCAGCGCCAACAGCTCGAGCAGCACCCCGGAGGCCGCGGCAGTACCGAGAGTACCACTCACGTAGCTGCTGGGAAGAGAGAGCTCCCCTAGGCGCAGCACCTCCACGCTCAAGACCTCCAGACCCAGCACCCCTAGGGACAGCACCCCTAGGCTCAGCACCTGCAGTCTCTGCACCCCCAGGCTCAGCACCCAGAGTGACTGCACCCCCAAGCTCAGCACCCACAGTCACTGCACCCCCAGGCTCAGCACCCGCAGTCTCCGCACCCACAGGCTCAGCACCCCCAGCCTCCGCACCCCCAGGCTCAGTATCCCCAGGCGCAGTACCTCCAGACCCAGCACCACCAGGCTCAGCACGCTCAGTCCCTCGCGCAGGACCAGAGTCGACAGCTACCTCGACGGGCTCAACCGGGTCTACCTGGGAAACACCAGAGGGAGCAGGAACCTGCGGAGGCAAGGGGTATACCAAGGCAGCACCTGGCGTGAGGAAGAGCGGCGGTGGGGGGAGCGGGGCAGTGCGGTAGGGGAAGAGCCGGTAGAAGGGGACAGAATCGTCAAATGTGACGTCCTGGGACGACAGAACACGGCGCGAGGTGGGGTGGTAAAACTGCCAACTAGGTGTGTCAGGGGGTAAGCCAAGGAAGACGCAGGGAACAGCACGGGGGGACAGCTTGTCCGCAGACAAGTCGCGGACAAAAGCCCGACATCCCCAGACACGAAACGTCGACGCATCACCAACCTTCCCCGTCCACCGCAGAGTAGGGGAGGTCTCCGGCAAGGACGGGGCTGAAGGTTGATCGGATGCGCCGCGTACTGAACCGCGAACGGCCACAGAAAATGGGGAGCAGCCGCATGGATCATGGACGTACGAGCGAAGTCCATGATCATGCCAATGCGGCGCTCAGCAATTCCATTTTGATGTGGAGAGGCCGGAAGCGTGAACGTCTGGCGGATGCCCTTCGCACGACAGAAGGCTCACAGAAGGTCGGAGGAAAACTCACCACCTCTGTCGGAGTGTAGACGCAAGACAGGAAAGTCCGAGCCGAAACTCTCTCTGAGCTGGAGACGAGCTGCGCGGATCCAGTCGATCAACACCTCAGTGACGTCCCCCTTGTTGCGCAAGGGGAAGACTGCGGTGTAACGCGAGTAGTCATCAACCACCAGCAGGAAATAACGCTCGTGAACCTGTCCACGGACGCGGGCTGGGCCCCACACGTCCATGTGAAGCGTCTGCAGCGGAGCCTCTGTCGGAGGAAACTCGGAGGAGTGAGGAGCGGCGCGCTGCCGCCCCTCGACGTAGGGAACGCAGGTGGGGCCAGGCCCCGGAGGAAGAGGAGGGAGGGACCGCGGGAGACCCGAGACAAGGAAACGAGAGGCCATGCCTCGGAGACGAGGCAGGGAGGGGTGATCAAGGCGGTGGTGCTAGAGGAGAGTCTGGTGAGACAAGAGACGACACGAGCAGAGGGCAGACTCAGGACCAGACCTGGACGCTGCAGCAAACACCTGACTCGACGCAACTACCTGAGAAGACTAAGTAGTCAGTGTGTACAGGCTCGACCCCGGCTGATGGGTAAACGTGGCCAATTGTCGGCCCATCCTAGCACACGTACAGTGGGTCACTCGCTGACGCGCAGGAGTGAACTGGTCAACCCCTGCGTCCTGTATGTCAGCACCACTCACCGAGTTCGTAGAGAACGAGAGGAGGTAAAGACCTGACAGGGAGCGAGAAGGGGCCGCCAGACATGGTAGGACAGTGGAGAAGTGGGCAAGGACGGGACCCCCAGAGGGGTCTGCCAGGGAGACTACAATCGGCCGACTAAGCGACGTGAGTGTGGTGCGGTCTCGAAAGAAGGGGTGGGAAGCACCCGAGTCAAGGGTGAAGGTGTGTAACACCTGAGACGACGTGGTACCTGAGAGAGCAGACTCACCAGCACCTGGGGCAGCAGACTCACCAGCACCTGGGGCAGCAGACTCACCAGCACTTGGAGGAGCAGACGCACTAGCACCTAGAGCAGCAGCCTCACCAGCACCTAGAGCAGCAGCCTCAATGCCCAGGTCAGGCGGAACACACAGGTAACAGTCACCCACATTACTAGTAGGAAATGCATACATGGCAGTGAGGATAGCATCATAGTCAAGAGCATAGATATCTACCCTCTGCCTAAGCAGCTCCACCCAGTCGGGGAGCTCAGCGGCGTCGCCAAACTCCGTACGCCAGACGTCGCTCAGACGGGCGAAGCAGCGGGACTCGGCGTGACCAAGCATCCCGCAGAGCTGACAAGTCCGAGCACCAGTGCGAATGACGTACGGACTGCGGGCAGAACTGCGTAACCCTCCATGCTGAGCGTACCAGTCACGAAGCTGCTGGGGCGAAAGGACCGCGTGCGGAAGACGCTGCAGCTACGCCTGGCTACTACAAGTAGCTCCCGAACTCCACACGCCAGAACGACTCCCACTACGGCCACCCTGACAACCCCAAGTAGCGTACCACTCACGAAGCTGCTGGGGTGTGAGGGACTCACGTGGACGTTGCTGGAGCTGCATCTGGCCACCGCTAGGAGCAGGAGGAGCAGTGGTAGCCGCAGTAGCAGCAGTAGAAGCTGTAGAAGCAGTAGCAGTAGTCGCAGTGCGGCCACCCCTACAACCCCAACTAGCGTACCACTCACGAAGCTGTTGGGGGGCGAGGGACTCACGCGGTCGGTGCTGGAGCTGCATTTGGCCACGCCAGGAGCAGCAGCAGTAGTAGAAAGAGCAGTAGAAGCAAGAGCTGTAGTAACAGACAGGGCACTGCTCACCAGTGGCGAGAAGGGCAGGCGTACGACGGCGGTAGCGGCGA